GGTGATTTCTCGCTTTCTGTCTCTATGTCTCTCTATCTGTCTGGCGAGCGCACGTGCCCTATTGTGAAAATCTCTCCAAAAAAAAAAAAAAGAAAAAGAAAAGAATTTATTTATTATTATTATTTTAAAATTTGCGATAGGGTACACATATTCATGAGAGAAAGTGAGAAAGTCACCAGATCTGGGACTCAAATCATACTCAGTCATGTGGGAGTTCAGTGTCTTAACCACCATATCATCTGCCGGCCCTTGTAGTTTGTTTGTTTGTTTTTTGAGAGTGATTTTTGCTTTAGGGCACGTGCACTTGCTGGAGAGACAGAGAGACAGAAAGCAAGAAATCACCCCCTAGTGGGATGGCCGTGCCGCAATCCCTTCTCCTCCATTTCCTCTCAGAATTTTGGGCATGCACACACATGCGCCCAGCTTGAGTTTTAAGCTGCTGGGTCTGGGACTTGAACCACAGTCAACTACATGAGAGTCCAGTGATGGAACCATTATGCCATCTGCTGGTCCCTGTAGGTTGTTTTTAATCTATTTTTTTAATTGCCAGAGGCTGTAAGTGCTTACCAGAAAGAGACAGAAAGACAGGGAGAGGAATAAAACACTTCCTAATGGGATGTGCTCCTCTATTCTTCCACCCTGTTAGGATTTTAGACACATGCACATAGTGCACCAAGTGTGTTTTTCAAGCTGCTAGGTCCAGTATTTGAGCCATGTGAGATCTGGCTCACTTAAATACCAAGCTGTAGGGAACCAGCAGTTTACCTTAATGGCTATGTCGCTGGACTCCCATGTAGTCGACCGCGGTTCACGTCCCGGACCCGGTGGCTTAAAACTCACGCCGGGCGCATGTGCACGCGTGCCCAAGGTCCCGAGAGGAGAATGGAGGAGAAGGGATTGTGGCGTGACCATCCCCTCTGGGGGATGATTTCTCGCTTTCTGTCTCTATGTCTCTCTCTGTCTGTCTGGCGAGGGCACGCGCCCTATAGCGAAAAAAAACTCTCAAAAAAAAAAAAAAAAAACAAGCTGTGGGGCTGCCCCTGTTTCACTCTTTAAAAAGAATTGTTTATTTTATTATTATTTTTTTTTAGTTTGACCAGAGAGGAGGAGGAAAAAAAAAGTGAGAAAACAAGCCGCCAGGTGGGAGTCCAGTGCCTTAACCATCATACCACCTGCTGGTCCCAACTGGCCCTGTTTTTAATCTTTGGCTATGCAAAGAATGTGGCAATCCATCCCATTTTATAATCTATGTTATTTCACACATAAGAGAAAATAACTAATAAATTTCTGGGCATAGAATTGCTGGGGTAAAGGACAGGCGTATTTTTAATTTGGGGGATAATTGCAAATTGTGCACTATCGAAGCAGTAATTCACCCCCCCGAGAGACGCCGGCGCGCCCCCGCGGGGGACGCCCCCCCCTCGCGGAGGGGGGCCCCCGCGCGGGGGTGGGCGCCGGGGGGGGGGGGAGCGCGGCGC